TAGAGGAGCTTAAGAGAAGGGGGTGACGTGACTAGTCAGGTCAGGTCAAAAATAACGGACCCAATAAATAATTATCATACATCTAGATCAAAGGTTTTCAAAGCATTTTTAACCTTGGGCCACTGACAAATAAATTTATGTAACATATTATCAGTTTTGAACTGACCATCACTAAGGTTTATTGATTTTAATTCCTTAATCAAACTAGCTTCAACCAGAAGTCTTTCTGTGACACAAGATGATTTAAATACTTCTAAGCTTTTTTCCCAAGCAATGGGATGATTATTATTCCTAACATGAACGAACAGGGCACTGCTTTCAGATGCTGTATGTGCGTGTGTGTGTGTGAGTTTAATATATGAACATGATTTCTCTTTGATAACAGAATAATAATAATAACAATAATAATAATAATTATTATATTATTATTATTATTATTATTATTATTATTATTATTATTATTATTATTATTATTATTATTATTATTATTATTATTATTATTATTATTATTACTGCGTTGGTGCCACAGATTACATGACGTCAGGGTTGTGGTGGAAACGGCTGGTGTACGCGAGTTGGATGATGATGATGGCACTGGTACTGGTCAAGAGTTACGCCGGCAACCTCATGTCCGCTTTGGCTGTGAGACACATTGAGCAGCCTTATCAAACTCTCCGGGACTTGTTGGACGATCCATCCCCAACTATGATATGGCCCTATAATTCCAAGAATGTCCAGTATTTCAAAGTACGAATCATTTTTTTTCATGTTTATTCTTTATTTTTATTAAGCTATGCAAAGTCCCGTTGTAAAATATAAACGATAAGGTTTAAAATTTAGGTTATATGTACTGTAGGCGTCACTCAAATACATAATTTATTAGTATTAGATTTAGTGGGTACAGCGCTCACTTTATATCCCAGGGGCAGCTGTTTCCTTTCTAAGGCACTTTCAGTTCAACCAACTGTTGGAAAGCGAATCCGTTGTTATACTGACTCCACTATAATTATAAACTCTTGTATTCGTAAGTTAGTTTACATCTTGATGTACAGTAATTACGTCAAAAATCTCTCCTTCTTAATCAAGTCAGTGAAGTCTGGGATATACCAAGAGGTGGCCGAGATGGAGTCAAGGGGACGCATCAAGTACCAAGCTGTGAACCAGTTCTTCCACAGCATCGACATCCTTGTCAGGCGCGGTGACCATGTCCTCATAGCTGTCGAGATCGTCATCGACATGCTCATTAGCCGAGACGTCTCCCAAACAGGTTCTTACTTAATGTTCAGTGTTAATGCTCATAGGAGCGTTATTGATTTGTGTTGAGAATAAAACCCACAACGATGACGCGTACCATATAATTCGGTCAAAACCTGTTAAAGAACAATTCACATATAACAAATGCTGTTATATCAGGACGCATAATATGAAAAATACAATCAATATACAGTACATAGCCTATTAACATCTTAAATATAACTCACATGTTGCAACTGTTGATACATCAGGAGACAATTTGTATAATATGATCAAATGCAGTACATAAATATACTTATTAAAGTTATTTAGAGTTTTTAGAGGATTCTATAGTTCACAATCATACTCACGTTTTAGGGTCTCGGGTTTGACCAAAGAGAACTGGTGTACATCCTCTTGGTATATGGTAGTCGAACGAAGATGTTGTCTGTACTGCAGGAAGCGATAGACTGCCCTTTGAGCATTCACAGCTGCCTGGGCCGTCGCCCATTGAAACACCTCAGCAAGATTCGTTGTCAACACTATGTCTCTCCTCTCACCCTCTCTCTTTGTCTCTTCTAGTTTATCTTACTGTGGCGGTAACACTCCCCCTGACAACGTATCTTACTGTGGCGGTAACATTCAGAAAGAGTGGAGGTTTACTGTACGTCATTTGTAATTGTGCGCTTAACTGTGTATATACAGCAAAGAGAGTCACTTCTCTAATACAATTTAACTGTATCAACCCCTAAAAGGCAGCGGCATACTTAGGGATAAGCAGAAAGACGGGCTTGGGGGTAACCAGATGTTGTAGGTTAGTAGTGATGTTATTATTTATATTCATATTATATAAAAGATAATTTATGCAGATTTTTCCGGGTTATCAGTCACCACATATGTAGGTACTCTTCATGTATTATAGCAGATGAACTATTTAAAAAATGCCCTGGCCAATCCAACAATCAATCTCTCTCTCTCTCTCTCTCTCTCTTTCTCTCTGTATATATATATATATATATATATATATATATATATATATATATATATATATATATATATATATATATATATATATATATATATATATATATATATATATATATATATATATATATAACCTAAGATATCAGGAATGCATGGGGAATTTAGTGCTGGATAATATTTTTTTTTAGGATACTTGAAAGTTACTCTCATAAATATGCATCTCAAACTCAAGAACATCTCAGGAGTAAATATATTATAAAAGGAATAAAAGAACTGTACTCACTCGTTATATACCACTGCAGTGGTGTGCAATCCTGTTATGCATTAGCAGATACAGTTATTTGTTGAGCTTGAGTCAATATGGGTACAGTAACCACTTAGTCTTCGTTCATTACTCTTTTCAGAATTGTTAAGCTTTTTAAACATAATTGTTCCTTAAGATTACACTTACAACTAGTTTTCTTCATCAAGGGCACTGTCATGTAATGGTGGCACCCAGTGTATCTAGCCAACATGGAGGACACACAGTGGCCAGAAATGGAACCACGGGCCAAACTCAAACCGATTTTCATTTAACCGAATGGTCGCTTTTCGGTTTCTGACCCCAATATATATATATATATATATATATATATATATATATATATATATATATATATATATATATATATATATATATATATATATATATATATATATATATATATATATATATATATATATATATATATCAAATTGACATATCTCCTACAGGTCGTTGTGACTTCTACATGTCGAGAGAGAGGCTGCTGCCTTCCATCTTAGCTCCTATAGGCCAGAAGAACAGACTTCTGGTTCCTGCAATAAGTAAAATGTACTCACAAGTAAATAGTCTCAATGAATATGTGATTAGAGGTAGTGATTGTTATATAGTCGTCTGTCTACACATTTATAATTAACGAATGAAAAGGTTTCTTCACTATTTGGTGTCATATATATATATGTATATATATATATATATATATATATATATATATATATATATATATATATATATATATATATATATATATATATATATATATATATATATATAAAAACAAAGAAGTATGTCTGTCTGTCTGTCTGTCTGTTTGTCTGTGTGTCCGCACGAGAATCTCAGAAACCACTTCACCGATCTGGACCAAACTTGGCATGGATAGCAAGTGTCATGTGGGGATCTCAAAAAACTCCAACGAACCAGATCCGACTCACCCAAGCCGACCCAACTCGACACGCCTGAGAGAACGAGAGAAAGAGAGAGAGAGACTAACGGTCAGCCCGGATGCACACACGTAGAAAATTCGTATTCCCTCCTATGATTAACAGCTATTTTGATCCTTAGGTTCTCTTTCATTATGGCTTACTTTTCTCTGCATCCAACCTCCATCTGTTACACCACACAGAGGTTGAAAAGTCGTATCCCATCCCACGTATTATAGCTAATTTTATCCTTATGCTCTCTCTCATTACAGTTTACTTTACTTTGATCTCTAACTTTTCTAGGCTGTCCATTCTAACAAGGTAGGTAGGTAGTCCATTCTCACGAGGTATGTCAAACGTAAGATATTTCACAGAGCCAAAATCAATGTCGTGGTGCGACCTGGAACAGACAGTGAAATAACAGTAGACAAAAAATGGGTGGTCCCCTACAATCCTCTTTTGAGCAAAGCATTCAATGGGCACATCAATGTGGAGTTCTGCAACTCAGTCAAATCCGTCAAGTATGTCTGCAAATATGTCAACAAAGGCTCTGACCAAGGGATCTTTGCATTGGAAAAGGATGGAAATCATGATGAGGTTGTGGGGTTTCGAGATGTTGTCTCACACTCAGGATGGGTTGGAGAAAGGAAACTCACAATGCTCTCTCTGTGTATGTGTATATATATATATATATATATATATATATATATATATATATATATATATATATATATATATATATATATATATATATATATATATATATATATATATATATATATATATTATCTATCTATCTATCTATCTATCTATCTATCTATCTATATATATATATATATATATATATATATATATATATATATATATATATATATATATATATATATTGTATTGGATGTACAAGGCAGCTTGGTGCTGGGAAGTTGCTGCGTGGTTGGCAGCGTGGAGTAGAGAGGTGGTTGGTGAGGCGCTTGCTCAGAGCTGTTGTGTGCTGCGTGGCTGTAGGTAGAAGAAGGGCAGGTCACGGCGAGGTGAGGTCTTATATAGCGGAGGTAGGCGTGGCTTGATAGTTTACCTCTGCTTTATTAAGCGGAGCTAGTAGCCGACCTTAGACCACGAGGCGTTGGCTGGGGAATTCGAAAAGGGGTCGGCTAGTCAGCGACAAACGGTAGTTGTAGTTGTAGGGGAAATTTCCACTAAAAGGTGACACAGTTTCAGCAGGGCCGTTATATCTGCAGCAATGAAGCCCTATGGAGAATTTTTAGTTTTCCCATACACGAATGATGTCCAACAGTAGTTCATCTGGCTGTTCACATGGAAAATGAACAAAGGGTACAC